CCTGAATGTAGTTCTCATTTAGGCTTAGGGCTTTCCAGTTTGGCAAGACCACATTAAGAAATGTGTCTTTTGGTAGTTAAATATATGTCACAAAGAGTAGAAGCCTAGTTTGCTGACTTCAGTGGCCCTGTTCTGTTAGGGTGCGCAGGTCTAAGGTATTTTTAGCACTGGAGACTCTTCCCCAGTGACCCCTGCCCACACACCCACATCCCCAGGATGAGGCTGCATTCTCCACCCATACATGGGGCTGGTGGAATAACCAAGGGGCAAATTTCAAGTCTTCCCACACAGCCAAGTCCTTGTAAGAGTAGCCAGATACTCCGACAGGCTGACGGTGTTTCTTTCAGAGCTGTTCTGAGGAGGCAGGCAGTTAAGTTTAGAACCAAAGTTAGAGGATGGAAATAGTGCTGAGGAAGACAGGTCGTCTTGATTCCCAGCTAAGGAAAAGTTTTCTTAGCTTCTGTACCAGGAGGGCTGAGTTGAGCTGTATATATCGTGCCTGACTGGGCCCAGAGTCCCCGGGGGCAAGGACCTTGTGGAATTCACTTTTGGTCTCCCCGGTGCCCAGCACATCTGGTGCTTCCCAAGTGCTTGCAAAAGCACATGAAATGAAACAAGGTACAGCTGGCCGGCTTTCCAGAGTTCCCGACTGATGGTGCCTTACCGAGTGGGTCTACCCATTCCGTGACAAAGTCCTTACCTCTTAGGGAAAAAAATTGCAACACGTGGATTCCCCTTGTGTGGAAGAGAAGTCTGTTTTCTTCCTGTGGTTAAATATTTCATTCTTCCATCTCTCTCTGCTAATGCCATCAGCCTATCTTTGGTTCCATCTGTCTTCACCTCTGTTCCACCCTCTGGTGAAGGAGGTCGTAGTCCATCCCCATGTCTCATCACTTGGTCACTTTTCTTCCCACTCCTGGTCGTCGCTCCCATCATTCATTGCCAGCTTCCCTTCTTCTTTCAGCTCTTAGTCTTGGGGGGTTTCCTCTGTGGTCTATGAATACATCTACATTTCTCTTATCTCATGACCTCTGCTGCCTTCTCTCTTCCTTTCGCTGTCAAAAGTTTCTAGAAGGAATGATTTATTCTTAAAGTCTGGCAAGTCCTCACTTCTCATTCACTTCCCAACCTGTGGTTACCGGTCAGCTTGTCTCTTGCTAAACTGCTCGGGCATGGAGCACACTCACAGTTTCCTAAAACTGGGTCCATCTCATTCTTCCACGTGTTCTCCTCTCTGGGTCATTAAACAACGTTGAAAATTTCTTTTTGAAATTCAAGACACTGTTCCTGTTCTCCCACCTCTGAGCATGCTTCGTTCCTTCCTCTGTGCTGGTTGGTTCTCCTCTGCTTGCTCTTCGGATCACACGTTCCTGAGGGCCCTCCCAGGCTGGCTTCTCTTCTGACCCGGACTGTCTACCCAGCCTTCTGGCCCTCTCTGACTGTACATACTTTCCAGTAGGCGAGGATCCACAAACCTTTATCTTCAGCCGACACGGTGCTGTGCATACATCAGCAGATCCCACAAGTCAGGTACAAAACTCAACTCAATCTTAACCTGCCCCCGCTCCCCATTTCACACATAGACACATGCTCTTCCCGAAGGCTTTATCCCAGTCAACCATTCCACTCTCTCTCCTGTTGTGTAACTCAGAGAGCCAGCGTCTTCTCTCCCCTCCCCCTACCTCTTCAGTTCATTGCCACATCCTGCTAAATTTGTCACAGATCTAGCTGTCCCTTTCTCTTTTGCCCATATCCTCATATCTTTCTTCCAACCTGCCCCTCTCGGATTTGTCCTCCACACCGCTTACTGCTGTAAGTGGCCACGCTAAAATGCAAATAAGGTCGCAAAACCTGGTTGCCTGAACCGTTCATTGTGTCCCACTACCTATAGGATAAAGTCCAGACTCCTTACCATGGAATACAAGGTTTTTCTTTTAAATGGCTGCTTGTTTACTTGCTGTGCTCTCAGCCACCCCTACCCTTACCTTTGACCCAACCAAGCATTTTGTAGTTTCTTTAATGCCCTGGTGCAGCTCTTGGTTGTTTCTTGAAAAGTCTTTTTGCTCTTGACTTTCTGGTCCATAATAGTGTTACTGACCAGGGTTCTCAGCCTCCTTTATCAATAGAAATTGATAAGAGGCCAGATGAGAAATTCAGGCAAGGCTTTCCTGGGGCCCCTGCTGCAGCAGGGGGAGCGAGAACAAGCGGCAGGTTCCCTTGCTCACTCGCTTGCTGAGCAGGGGTGCGAGCTGTTTCCTTATATGGGATGAGGATAGGAGCAGGTCCAGGGGTCAGACTTGAGGGCTGGCTGGGGTGTTCTGCCCACCCCTTTGGCGGTGGTGTGTGCAGGGGGCATGCACAGTGCCCTGCTTTTGCTCCCTGCCTTTGCTCCTGGCTCTTTAGAAGTGGCAGTTGGGTTTTTGGTCTTTTTGTATCTTGTTGTCCATAATTTGCCCCAGTGCATGCACGTAGTTATTTTTAGTAACTTATAGTTTATTTGTATTTTGTTGCTCCAGGAGACGTTTGTCCGGGTTGAAGCATTGCAGCAAAGGGTCCCAGGGTCCCAGCCTGTCTCAATAGGATATGTCTTCCCTGGTCACTCCTCCATCCCTGAGGAGCTGATCATTGTTCCCATCTTTGTAACCCCCCTTACACTGCACAAACCTCCGTTAAAGCACTGATCACCCTGAAATTTCAATTTTTGGTTTTACATTTCTAGTTCCCCTACTAGACCATGAACTTAGGTAATCGACTATACTCACCTAGCACTGGAGACACAGCAAGGCATTGGCTCCTCTAAGGGCTGCACGCATGAATGAGTGGAGGATTTGACAGGTTAGTGAACCACCCACAGCTTTGTCTCAAGGCTGCTCTGCTGTTCCCCTTCCCCTGACCTCATTCAGTTAATTGATGCATCCTGCTGATTCTGTCAAAGATCTATCTGTCCACGTTTGGGACAAGCCCAGGAAGCCAAATGGTAGTTGTGAAATCTCTAGGTTTACTTTTTACCTGTGCTGTCTCAGAAAAATTGCAGTGAAAGCATTGTTATAATGCTAGTAGCAACAACTGAGGTTTATTTAGTGCTCTACAGCTTGGAGAATCTCAGATGAGAAAAATGAAGTACAGAAAGGCTATGACTTGTTAGAGGTAGGTAACAGCCCAGATCTTCAGATTCCAGATCCTCTGATCTTTGTATTATTACACACTGTTTCAGATGCTTCCATCAACAGGTGATTTAAAGAGTTACAAACTTCCTCTTTCGGAGGACTACTACTCTGCTGTTGCCTGCAGTCTCTTGCCAACAAATAACTCAGTTATTTTACTGCTCTGGGCTTCATTATTCCTTGTGAATTCGTAAGGCAGATTAAGTCCCTGTTTTCTGGGAATTGAGAATCTTCAGACAAGTCATAGTGAGTCAGAGAGAAATGTTTTTGATGTGAAGGAAATGGAACGAATGTGTGGTTAGTTAACCTTTAAGTATTGTATGTGATTCATTCATTCAGTAGTACTTGTTGAGCCACCCATCTGCTGGGCACTGTATGACTGTCATGGTCCCTGCTCTCATGGGGGTCATAGGCCACCGGGTGAGACAGGTATTAATCGGACATGCCTGCAAAAGTGAATGCATGTATTATTGGAGGCGGTGTTGGGAAGCCGGAAAGGCCCTGGAGTAATCACGAGGCCGAAGGTTATAGCTGGGTGAACCAGGAAGTTCCTTCCTCCTGCTGGGCCTCTTTCTTTTCCTCTAAAAAATAACCAAGGTGGAACCTGTTGGTGTCTTAGTTCCTTCCAGCTTACTACGTCTTTGAACTCTTATCTAACAAAGGCACTTTCAGTGAGTCAGAAGGCAGAGCAGAAAGTACGATTCTTTTGTGTGAACTGATTGTTAAAACATGACATGTTTCATTCGTTATCTCTGTAAGCAGAGTTCAGGCTTACAGTTTCCATCCTGACTACCTTGGTCTACTGAGAAAAGCACATTTTACTTTATTAAAGCAGCGCTTGGCATTTTAGTGGACCCCCTTGCAATGTTTAGTTTATTCTGACATTTGAGAGATTGGATCCTCTTTGTTCTGTGATCTCAAAAAATCATCAACCCCCCAGCCCCTAATTCCTGTATTTGATATGTAAAATGGAAGTAATAACCCAAAACTTCTTAATAAGCCCGCAGAGGCACTGATTCAGCAAGGAAGCAAACATTTGTGGAGCATCTGCTGTGTGCTCGACACTGCCGAGTACAGAACAGACATGAACAAGAAGTGGTCCCTGCCCTCAAGGAATGTATGGTTTAGTGGTAGAAAAAAAGCATAACTATTACAGGTGCCGTGGTAGACGTTGATACAGGGTCGGACGTACAAATGTTAAGAGCTGTACGTAAGTTCTGCTGGCTGGTGGGAGGGGAAACCAGGGGGCAACGTAGTATAGGGAAGAGAACATTAGGTTTAGAGTCAGAAGAGCTGGGTTTTCGGAATCTCCGTTCTGTATATATTAGTTGTGGACCTTGATTCCTTTGAGCCTGGGTTGCCTCATCTAAATAAAGGAAGTAATGATCCTTCTGCCCCATGGTCAACGTGAGCGTGGAACTGTACACGTGTGTATGATAGAGCTCTATCTGTCTGAGCTCTAGGGGCAAGTTCATGTTCCTGAATAAAATGGCTGTTAGGCCACTTGTAATTGCTAAGACAAAAGATTTTATTTGAAGTAAAGCTCTCAGATTAAACCCAAACAGGCATCAGCAACCTTTCAAAGGTAGCGTGCCAGCTCTGCTGCCTGTGCCGGCCTGTCCTGCAGATCAGGCGTCTGTGCGCACCTTTCCTGTAACGGCAGCGGGTGTGGTGCAGGAGGCAGTAGGAAGTCTGGTGGCCCCCGAAAGCCCATCCTCACCTTGACTGTGATGGGAGGTGTGGACCGATGTCGCTGCTCACCTGTGCCCTCAGGAATGGGGACGCCGTCAAGCTGTGTCTTAACTCTGACCTTTCCCCCCTTCTCCCTCGTGCCAGATTTTATCATGTGGGCAACCTGCTGCAACTGGTTCTGCCTGGATGGACAGCCTGAGGAGGCCCCACCACCCCAGGGAGCCAGGACGCAGGCCTATTCCAACCCTGGGTACAGCTCCTTCCCTTCCCCCACGGGCTCGGAACCAAACTGCAAGGCCTGCGGGGCCCACTTCGCAAGCATGGCCAGGAAGGTGAGTGTCGACCTCTTGGCCTGCTCGGCCGCTGTAGCCTCAGGCCCTCAGGCAAGTCTGCTGACCCTTCCATGGTGCCTGCCCCTGGCCTTTGCCTGTGCAAAGCTGGCAACCCAGACCTGTCCTTTCGCAAAGGTATTAAAACTAACCAAGCAAAAGCAACACATCTTGGCGTAGATTTGGAGCCAGCTAGATCTGAATTCTGATAGCAGCTAGGCAACTTCCTAGCTGTATGACTTAACCTGTCTTGAGATTCATCTTCTCCGTCTATGAAGTAGGGATATAATAATTGTACCCAAGTCAACATCTTGCAATGTTGTGGGAATAAAATGCGCTAAGCTGCGAAGGGTGTCCGGTGCGATGCTTGGGGTGCAGCAGGCACTTGCTGTTATTTCCTTCATTAGCTGCCGTCATTAAAAGCCTGGCTGCAGGTGAACTTGTTCTTTTTATTGAAAACAGTGTCAAGGACATCTCAGGTACGTCAGGACCCTAACAAGATGAAGACTGGAGCTTATTTACTGTTGCCAGTTCATTTGAAATGCATGGTAGCCGTGTTTTCCAGATTAGTGAGCAGGAGGTAAAATCACTGGCTGGGCCATGGTGTACGGGTGAGGGCCATCCCTCTGCCTGTGGTAAGCACGCCTGGGGCCGAAGGTGAGCCCTGACCTGGAGAACTGCTGCATCTGTCTTCTTCTGCAGAATGAGAGGTTTGCAGCCTAGAATGTGACGTTTAAATGATGATAATGAGAAATTTGAGAGGAAAAAATACTTTCTAAACCACCTTCTGTATGGCAGAGACTATTTTAAGCAATTTATAGAGTTTTTGTTTCATTTAATCCTCACAGTAACTCTATGATGTAGGTTTTAGGGTCCCTACACTCCCACTTTACATATGAGAAACTAAGGCTTAAAGTTTAACAGGTAAGAAGGAAACTGTCAAGTTCCTGACAGCATTGGAGACATTAAAATACTCATTCTTTCCCCTCTACTTAAGTAGCGCCCCAAGATCACCTGGTTATTAAATGGCAGAGCCAGGATTCAAACATAGGTCTTTGACTCTCAAGCTTTCTCCCAGAAGACAGTCAGCATGTCAGAATTTCTGCAGCTCAAAGTGTTGACCAGCCACCCCTTTGTAACTGTAAGATGATGGAGAATTGGCATTTTGCCTTGTAGGTTGTATTTTGCCTATACCTCAGTGCAGTGCGGGGAAGGTGGGCACGTAGCCAAGCTTTGTTGTGGTTTGCTTGGCTACCCCAGTCACTGAGAACTCAACCAGAGAGGCTCCTGCAGGCCAGGGGGCTGTGGCTCGGTGGGCAGGGGTGCCTCTCCTTTTATACGTAGGCTGAAAGGTTCAGTCCATGATGGAGACTGAAGTGGCGAGTAGGAGGAACTCAGGGCCACGTGGCCTCAGTGCTGTCGGTGGTGGAGACGGTGGGGTGGAGTTAGGGTCTGAGATGAGATGGAAGGAGGGCTGTCGGGTCCTGGTCATGTGCCTGGCACTGAGCCTGGCATTTCAGATGCGTTGTCTCACTGAAACCTTACAGCAGCCTATGATGTGTGTACTACTATCATTTGTTCCCATTTTACAGATGAAGAAATTGTTCCCTTTATCTAAGGTAGTAGTTTCAGGGACTCCTCAAGTACATCAAGAGTCTGTTGGACATCAAAGCTCGTGCTGTTTTCATTGTTACATTGTGAGAAATGCTAGGAACAACCAGCTGAAGTGGCGGAGTAATTGGCAAGAAAGGAATAGGGAAAACCCTCGTTTAAATGAGGCAGCATGGGGAATTCCCTGGCGGTCCAGGCGTCACTTTCACTGCCGAGGCTGTGGGTTCAACCCCTGGTCAGGGAACTAAGATCCCGCAAGCCTTGTGGAGCGGCCCCCCCAAAAAATTAATTAAGAAATAAACAAATAAAGGAAACAGCATGAATTTGCAATGGGTTTGTTTGAAACCACCCCCCCCTTTTTTTTTTAAAGTCAGTTATTCTCTGGAGTGGAAATGGAGAGAAAGCGCAGAGAGGACGATGGTGGTGATCCAGGCTCAGGATAAGCATGTCGAGCGCATTGGAAACTTGAGAGAACCAGGGGATCTAGTGAGTTCTTGACATTGCTCAGCCTGAAGAGAGAACGTGAATGAACAAAGAAACCGCCCCCAGAGAAAGTAGAATGATGGTTGGGTCAGGGTGGGAAGATGCTTTATTTTCCTTATAGTGGTTATCACCACCCAACATACATGTGTTTGTGGATTGCCTGTCTTCTCAGATGGTACATAGGATAAGGGATTTTATCAATTTTGTTCACAACTTTTCCCCAGTATCTAGAACAGTGACTGACACGTGGTAGGTAGGCAATAAAATTTTAGAAATAAATGAATGAATGAACGAATGGACTGCTGAGTTGAGAGCAGTTTGAAAAAGAGGAAGTAGACCAGAGAGTTTCTATTTTCATCACTTTATGGCTGACATTTCCATGCTGAAGATTTTCACTGAGGGCCGATTCTGTCCCAGCAGCATGCTAGTAGCTGGAGCTTACAGTTTTGTGGAGAGAATACTAAGACATAGGTCTTTCCCTTAGGGAGCTTACTGTCTGGTCGAGGAGGCCCACATTTACAAAGAGCTAATAATAGTCAGTTGCATAAGTTAAGTACTAGGGCATCAGGCATTGTTGGTAAATTGATAATTCTAGCCGGATGAAGGAAAGTTTGTTGATTTGCAAAGCAGTGGCTGAAGTAAAAGCACCACATGTGGAGCAAGTTCAAGGTGGACTTGGGAACTGTGAGTGGCCTGTTTGGCCAGAGTGCAGGGTACCAGGGAAGTTAGGGCAGCAGGGTTGGGATCAGGTGGTAAAGGGCCATGACTGCCATGGTAAGGAGTCTATCGCCACCAGACAACAAGGAAGCATCAGAAGGAGTTTGAACAAAGCAGCAACCTGATTGATCCCATTTCAGGGAGCAGACGTGGCTTCGTGAGGAGGGTAATTCGATGGAGCCATAGGAGTAGCACTTAGGAAGCTCTTGCACACCTGGCGGGAAGTTCCCAGAGCCTGGTGTAGGGTGGAGGCCGAGATTGATCGAGGTAGCTTCTATTTAGTGAGCAGCTCTTGGTGCCAGACCTTGTGAAGAAGTGGTTGTTAACCCATTTTACAGATGAAAAATTTGAGACTCAGATACAACAGGTACTTTAGCTACGAAGATACAAGGGCACACAGCTGTTGAAGACAGATGAAACGGAGGAGGAGGTCAAACTAAAGAAGGCAGAGAATCGGTCTGGGTGCCTAGGAGCCTGACAGTGATTAAAATAAGGATTTGTTTTTTTTATTCAGTGGTTCAGTGGAAAATATATTATTCAGTATCTACTGTGTGTCAGACATTGCGTGGGCTAGGCAGGCAGAGATGAAGAATGTCAGCCCTCCTTAGTAGGGAGCTTGTAGTCTGACAGGAAGATGGGGGCAAATACGCAGCCACACAAGGAGACAAAAAGAAAACTTCTGTAGCAAGAAGAGCTTTTGTGGGGGGAAAGAAAGTTCCAGTCTGGAAGGTAAAAGATGGTTATTGGTAAAATGTTTTCTTGCCACAAAGGGATGGATTAATTTTGTGAATATTAAGGATGTTTTCTCCTATGAGAATTTTGCACTTGTAATTTCATGCTTAAGTGGATCAGCATCTTATCTTAAGGGTTTGGCATTTAACAGCTGCAAGCTTTTAAAATGTCTTTTCTAGAAGTGTTTGAATTGACGTGATTACATGGATCCTACTGTCTCTTTTTCCTTTCTTCATCGAGGTCAGTATTTTCCGACTGCTCATTGGGTACAAAGTCCAGAGAGCACTAAGGACTTTGTAGAGAGGACGTAGTAAGAAAGATGGAGCCCTGCCTTCCCAGAGTTTCCAGTCTCAGAGAGAAATGGCAGGCTGGGATTTGCCACAAGCCTCATATCCCATCTGTATTGGTAACACCTACATATGGTCTAGCAGCAGCCCTGCCAATTTTGGAGGGAGTTTGGCGCCCAGCCTCTTGAGCTGACCAGGTTGAGCAGGAGGCTGGGGAGGTAGCCTGGCAGGGAGGTTGTACTTGGGAACGTGGAAGAGATACTCAAATCTCAGAGTAGAAAGGGGGTGGCTCCTAGGTACTGGCCCGCGTCGGAGATGAGGCACGGAGAAAAGGGAAAAGGAGGTGACGGTGTTACCTTTAAGTGCGTTGCGCGCCCACCGCACGCTGAGGTTTGCTGTGCCTTAGCTCATGTAGTACTTGAGTAGTCCTTCGAGGTAGGCTGAGCTTCCGACTTTACAGGTGAGAATCTGACGCTCTGGGAGGTTATCTGTTTTGCACAAGTTCCCTTAGCTGGGACGTGACCAGCTAGGACTTAATCCTAGTGTGTCATGCCTCAGGCTGCCCCTTTCCTCCCGGTGGGCTGCAGGAGGGGATGCTTATGGGCAGGATGGCTAGGAGGAGGGGCTGGTGGGCTGAGAAGGTGGGCCCGCCCTGTGCCAGGGAACGAGGCTGGGGAGAGGGTAGAACAAGGAAGGGTGGATTGGCAAAGGCGGGTGCCCCTGCCAGCCTCCCAATGCTGGTGTTTGTCTGTGTTCCTGGCATTTGTACAGGCTCGTCGGCTCCCCTAGGTCATCTTTCATGTGACCTCGTGAGTCAGTTTGCACCATTTGCTAGAATTTATACATATGTGTTTCCCTTGCTTGTTCTGCCCACATTTGTTGACAGCTGCTTTTCCCTTCTCCTTTGTTCTCTTCTGCCTCTGCAAACTGAGGTTTTAGCCTCAAGAGAGCGCTGTCTTACTCTTTCCCCTAGGGTGTGTTTCAGATGCCAATGCCGGGACTTGAGAATCCCTGGCGAGCTGGGGGGTACGGAGAAGCTGGGTTGGTTGCTGCCTTTGCATTCTGATCTTGCATCCAATACGCTGCACACCTTTGAAGAAGAGCGGTGTTTAGATCTGGCTGATTGAGCAACTCGGGGCTTTTTAATTGTGTCAAGCTAGGTCTTATCAAACTGCATTGACTTAAATAATGTTCCACGTCAGGACCTACAGCCTTATTACACGGAAGCCTCGTCCTTTCACTTTGTCATCCTAAGCACATCTCATTGCCCAACAGAAAAGCTTTAGATATGACTGAACCCCCAATACCCAAAAACATTCAGTTTCTACCTGAGTGGCTACTGGTCCCAGAACCCTTATGAAGCGAGTGCAGCCATGCGTCCTTTCCAGTCAGTCGCTGCACATTTTATTGTCTGGTTATAACTGTATAGAGAATAAGGGAGCTTGATGTGTGTCCTTCCCCAGCTTCTAAGTATCACTAGTCAAAACGATGGTAAGCATTATGCTTGTTTTCCTTTACTGCACGAATGACACTTAGAGAAAACGAACTATAACGACATCAGCTATGCAGACTTTTACTTCAGTGCCACACAAGAGTATCTGTGATTTCGACTCTGGGAATCTCAGTCTCCTGGGCATTCTTGTTAGCTTGAATAACTTTCTAAGAAAAGAGGGAGCGGAAATCTTTCGGTTAATACTTAAGTCACCACAGGATGAAAAGTTTTTAATTTCTCTAAAGGATGAGTGAGGGCGCCCTCCGGGACCAGCCCCGTGGGCCCAGGGATTACCCGCCTGGTGGCATGTGGCCTGCTGGTGGCTGGAACAGGCCTCAGTCAGATGTCACCGTGCTCGGTCAGCCTGCGGGGCGAGAGGCCGAGGATTTGCTTCCTGTGAGCTGAGCAAGCCTTCATGAGTTGTGTTGTCTGCGATCCTGGGAGGAGCTGCTGCCAGGCGGTACCAGCGTGCCTGCCAGGCACTCTCGTCGCCCGTCTGAGACACCCTGTACTTTCACAGATGAGAGCTCCCTAATCACGTCCAGAGGGCCTCCTGGAGCTGACTAAATATTTGTCCTGGGTAGGCTCTCAGGCACCACTGAGTTCCCAGCACTCTGAGTGGGCCTTCCTGGGGTGGGGGTGGCCCTGGGCCTCAGCCTCTGCAGACGGGGCACGGGGTTGGCAGTTGGGAGAGGGAGAGCCAGGCCCTTGACTCAGCCCAGCTGTAGGCTCGCCTGGGGCTGAGTTAGGCAATGTGAGCATGACTGTGGGCACCAAACTCAGACCTCGAGTGAGAATCCCAGCTCTACTCTTTACTGCCTGCCCTTTAGGATGGGATTTAATCTCTCTAGGCCTCAGATGCTTGGTCTGTAAAACAGGGAGGTACGCGGATACCTACTTTGCGGGGTTGCTTTGAGAATTAAATGACAAGCCAAATTTAGCTCTAGCACATAGTGGCCCCTCAATAATTTAATGAATAACATTAATAGTAACAACAGTCACCACCATAACCTTTATGCATTTGCTTTCTTATCGCAGCAATAAAGTAGAAAGAATCATAGTTCAGGATTTGAATCTTGACTCTTATCATTGGCTTGTATTTCCTAGCAAGAATAATTAAAACACTGAACACTTATTGAAGACTCATGTGTCAGATATACTAAATGCATTATCTCTTAACTTTACAACAATCATATGAGGCAGTTGCTGTTATCGCCTTGCTTTACAGATGAGGAAACTGAGGCACAGAGAGGCTAAGTTAGACCCCCAAGGTGACGCCACAAGAAATGGAGGAGGGAGACAATGAAAATGCGGGGATTTTTTTATCCTGAAGCTGGTAGTCTTAATTAATAGCCTCCATTTCTCTACCAGTAAAATGAATAAAGTAAGCCTCCGACGGAACACTCCACATAGTGTCCTGTATGTGGATACATGATGCCTACAGGGGCTGCGCCACCTCCAAGTGGCTCTTACCCGGAAATCTGCAAGGTAGCCTGCACGCGCAGGGAGAGGAGGAGCTCAGTAAAAGTAAGAGTGATGGGGGAGTCTCGCCCAGCTCCCATCGCACTGTCTTGTTCTCACTGTCTGACGTGGTTTCCTCTGCCTCTTGCTCTAAGCAGCAGACCTGCTTGGACTGTAAGAAGAATTTCTGCGTGGCCTGTTCGAGCCAAGTGGGGAGCGGGCCCCGCCTCTGCCTTCTCTGCCAGCGTTTCCGAGCCACAGCCTTTCAGCGGGAGGAGCTCATGAAGATGAAGGTGAAGGACCTGAGGGACTATCTCAGCCTCCATGACATCTCTACCGACATGTGCCGGGAGAAAGAGGAGCTGGTGTTCTTGGTGCTTGGCCAGCAGCCTGTAATCTCCCAGGAGGGCAGGACTCATGCCCCCAGCCTGTCCCCGGACTCCCCCGAGCAGCAGGCCTTCCTGACCCAGCCTCACACCAGCACGGTACCTCCTACCTCACCCGGCCTCCCTTCTTCACCCCCAGCCCAGGCTCGGGACCGGCAGCAGGTACGGGCCCGTTTGCAGCCACACCATCTCTGCCAGTTGGAGGGCTCATTTTCCTCTCCCGCCTGCACCGTGGGAGTGGGGCAAGGTTAAGTGTCCGGATTATGTGACGCCTTTCTGCTTACTGATGAGGGATGATGTTTTCTGGACATCCAACTCACGTTTTGGCTTTTTTCAGGGATATTGATGCACGATACTGGGTGTTTGTGTTTTTTGTTTGTTTGTTTTAATTTTTTATTTTATTCATTTTTTTTTTGGCTACGTTGGGTCTTCGTTGCTGCGTGCGGGCTTTCTCTAGTTGAGGCGAGCGGGGGCTACTTACTCTTCACCGCAGTGCGCGGGCCTCTCACTGCAGTGGCCTCTCCCGTCACGGAGCATAGGCTCCAGGCACGTGGGCCTCAGTAGTTGTGGCGTGTGGGCTCAGCAGCTGTGGCTTGCGGGCTCTAGAGAGCGCAGGCTCAGTGGCCATGGCTCACGGGCCCAGCTGCTCCGCGGCATGTGGGATCCTCCCGGACCAGTGCTCGAACCTGTGTGCCCTGCACTGGCAGGTGGACTCAACCACTGCGCCACCAGGGAAGGCCTTTTGTTTGTTTTTAATATGTACATATCCCAGTTAGAGAGTTTTTAAAAATTCATTTTTCCAGAAATATTTTGAGAAAACTCACTGGTAGTCTTTGTGTTTAGTTCTGTTCAAATTGCCCTCCTACTTACTCACCTTTGTTGTGGTCTTCCTTGGCCGGATGGGGAACTCCGTTCCTCAGTGACCGTCACAAGGCACAAAGGAAGAAAAGCAACATGTAGAGGGAAGGGAGAGTGGGGAAACAGTGTGACTAGGACAAGGGCGCTGCTCCTCTTGCCAGCCTCTGTCTGGGTGGGGCAGTGGTTGGTGGGCTGTTGAACAGTAAGCAGCCTTACCAGCATCCTAGTGGGGCCTGGGAATGGTAAGCTCAGAGCAGCACATCGACTGAAACATGAACCAGGCATGAAAAGTACAGAAATGAGTAACACATTGCTTCTGTGCTGAGAAAGCCCCTCTAAGGGGAAGGTAGATACAGAAACCAACTATTGGATTAGAGTGATGCGGGCGGACCTCACCTCACCGTTGTGTAAGGCATGAGGGCATCCCGTAGACATACGTAGGTGCCTTAGTGAGCCTTTTACTTACATGGCTTGGGCAATAGTGGGAGGATTAGGACCTAAGAAATCCGTTTTCCACATCCAGTTTGTCACTGACTCTTGGGTCAGTTTGGGTGAGGTTTGAGCCTATAACAATGAAATGGGGTTAGTAATCCAGACCACTTTTGCTCTTGCCAGGATGTTGGGAGGACAGACTAGTGTGATCTCACGTCTAAAGGGCTTTGAGCCGCCTAGAGCAGGCACGTGCCAGTGTTGTCAGTTCCCACACAGGATGTGGATGGCTGCTACCTCTTGTTTATGATCACCTCCTTTGCCAGGATGGGGCCCCCTGATTCAGCTCTGACGAGCACTGAGGCATAAAGGCCACTGTGATAGCATGCTTTACCTTCAGGAAACTCAGCAGCTCCCTTGTTGGCTTGAGCCTGCTTTCTCCCCAGCACGCTCTGGAGTTTTAACTCTTCCCTCAGCTCTGGCTCTGTCTGCTGGACATGTTTGGGCTCCTGCTTTGACTTCCTCCCTTTGCTTGACTAAGTGCTTTTGCTGTGTTTATGGGGAGCCAGGAGAGTGCCTTGAGGGATTTTTTTTTCCCTCAAGAACCTTCAGGTGGCTTTTCCAATGAAAGGAGTCGGTTTTAAGCTTCCTTTCATTAATCAGAAGTTTCCAGACTGCACCCACAGGAGACACTGTGTACCGGATCTCATTGGGTACTTCTCTGATGTTTTCAGAGGGCCTTCAGGTCAGCTCACATCCCCTGTTCTGGTGAGGTCTGCATTTTGTCAGCCAGAAAAACAGGGGAAGCAAAGTAACTTGTGCGTGGCTGCCCGACGATTCTACAGCGAACTGCACCCAGGATACAAATCTGCTTATACCATTCACCCTACCAGGGCCCTTTCCTGTACCGTTAATGTCCTGGCAGTAGTTGCTGGTGAAGAAAGTGTGTGGAATAAGCACAACTGTGCACACATATTCATTGTAGATTTTGGTTTAGCCAGTGGGCAAACTGAAAAGACAGGAGCATACTTTGCAGCATGAGATCTAGTTTCTCTTTCCTGGAAAAGAAAGGACATACAAGAAGCTGTCTACTTAGGATGAGGTTAGGCTCTGAAAGACTTTTTGTAACTCCAAGGTGACACCAGGAGGCCAGTGTGTACTACACCGATGTAAATCTAAGAGAAAACTAGACGTTGTTTTGGATGCATCTCCGTACATGTGTACTATATGTGGGGGGGTATCGTTCCTTGGCATTTTTGGTGGTGATGGTTATTTCTACTCTTCATTGCCACTGTAGTTGCTTGCCTGTTCTTTTTTTTTGCAGTATGCGGGCCTCTCACTGTTGTGGCCTCTCCCGTTGTGGAGCACAGGCTCCGGACGCGCAGGCCCAGTGGCCATGGCTCACGGGCCCAGCCGCTCTGCGGCATGTGGGATCTTCTCGGACCGGGGCACGAACCCATGTCCCCTGCATCGGCAGGCGGACTCTCAGCCACTGCGCCACCAGGGAAGCCCGCTTGCCTGTTATTAATTAGCTCCGTATTATGCATCCTAATCTGAGATGAGCGGCTAGAGGCAGTGAGTGACTGGTTTCCTTTACTGAGACCAGTGGAAAAGGCCTGTGAGCTCACACACCTCTTTGCTCTGGGCTCACACCAGGCCCTTTGCCTGTTGGGAGCAGTGGGTGAAGAGGATCTAGTTAAGGGATTTGTGGCTTCAGTGGTGATGGGATTAGGATGCTCACAGTTCTGACTACTCTGTGGCAAAACCTGAAGGAGTATCTAGGAGGAACCTTTTGAGAAGTTAGAATTCTAAGCAGAATGAAACTTCTTAAGCACAGGCGTTTGTCTTAAATAGTCTCAGGCTAATAATAATTTTTGACCAGGTTTCAAGACAGCTCTCAGTAATAGTGTGCCCTGCTGGTTGGAGCATATTTCTAGAATGTGAGAGCAGCAACTAGCCAGAAGAGAGGGGTAAGGTGGTGAGGGTCTGGAAACTTTGTCTCATCCAGGCCAGACGAGGAAGTGGGGGAGATTTTGTGTGGAGGAAGGGAAGCTGTGATATGAACAGCTGGGAAGAAAATAGTTGGCATTGGTCTGGGGGCAGAACCAGGGACGGTGGGCAGAAGTTGTCGGGAGGGTAGTTTGGGGTCAGTATCAGGAAAAAACTTGACAGTGGTCCCTCACAGGAGTGGACGTGTTATCTTCCTTTCACTCAGAGTGTTCAAACTGAGACTAAATTGACGGTGAGTGGCGGTTAATGCCGTCCTGGTGGTGGGCAGCATTAATGCATCTTGTTCTAGAGTTGAAATCTATTTCTATTGCTTCCCTGCCTGACAAAGTCAGTGTTAAAGAGCAGGCTTTTGTAGTGCTGTTATGCGAGACTCCAGATTTCCGGGGGAGATGGGAATGCATTTTGGATATGGTGTGAGCTGGCAAGAGGCCCATGCTATCCCTGGGACATCTCTGTGGATGTGATGGCACCTTTTTCTTCCCACAGGCCAATGGCCATGTGTCTCAGGACCAAGAGGAACCCGTCTACCTGGAGAGCACAGCCAGAGCACCTGCTGAGGATGAGACGCAGGTGGGGCCCCTGCTTGGGTCTGTGCCTTTGCCTTTGCTCTTTCACTGGCGTTCTTAGGATGTTATTAGGAACCTCCTGTCAGACTCAAAGTGGAGAGAGGAGAATCAGTGTGTGATGATAGTCCTTCTGAAATTCTGTTTTCAGGGGTGGAGTTTAGTGTTAGCATTCCAGATTAACCTTTGTGGCTGTCAGTGTGTTCGTGTGGAGTTGTGAGTCACAGTGGAGACTGGGGAGCCACATGGCCCATTAGTTTCCAGTCTCTTGACTTTCTAAGAGCTGCCAGAGGGCAGGCTCCCGGTGCCGCTGTGCAAATCTTGTTCTTTTCTTCTGCTTCTAGCACACAGTAGCCATTGTTAGGGGAAGGAAGTCAGATAATCAGGAGGAAAGATGGGAGGGAGTTCAGGCCTCAGCCGTGGCGGGCCCAGTGCACAGGGGGGCACAGCCATGGGGCCGTGGAGCTATTGTCACGGGTGCGTAGAGAGGATGCTTGACCGGGAGGTGGGCTCCTTCGTGGGAAAGCAGAACTGTCTCCGGGGGAGAAGGACCAACACCATTCTCGGTAGTTTCTGCTGCTGCGTTTAGTCGTCACAGCAACCCTGTGGGGCAGGTCTGCTGCCTCTTCTTCATGGAGGGGCAGTTGGGCTCCGAGAGGTGAGCCACTTGCCTGATACTATTCAGTACTAATCAGCGGAGGAATCGGGATTCAAAGCCAGGGCCACCTGCCTCAGACTGCAGCTCCTTCTACCGGGTCACGCTGCTGGGCGGGTCGGGCCGGCTGCGCCTGAGCACAGGGCTCGGGTTGGGAAGGGACCGCGGTCTCTCTTGCGATGCAGGGCGCCATGCCAGCTACTACTCCTGTTCCTACTCCTCTTGAGGCCAGTCACCAAAAGCACGGGGTGATGAGTGCTCTGAGGTCCTGGGAGGGAGAGCCTGGGTTGGGGGAGCTGAGCCCACCGATCTCATCTTTGCCTTTGCAGTCTGTTGACTCAGAGGACAGCTTCGTCCCAGGCCGGAGGGCCTCTCTGTCTGACCTGACCGACCTGGAGGACATTGAAGGTCTAACCGTGCGGCAGCTCAAAGAGATCCTGGCTCGCAACTTCGTCAACTACAAGGGCTGCTGTGAGAAGTGGGAGCTGATGGAGAGGGTGACGCGGCTGTACAAGGATCAGAAGGGGCTACAGCACCTGGGTGAGGGGCCGCCTGGGTGACAGCTGCACGGAGTTCCAGAGTGTTTGCTGTCTCGCTTGAGAGTCGACATTGACCTGACTAAGTTTCCCTGCTTTTAGCCCAGGAAGGAGTCACCTTACACATCTGCAGCCTCTAATAATAGCTGTCCTTTGGAGTTGAGGGCTGGGATTGGGTTAGGCATCATGTACATGTATTTACTCCTCAGGGCAGCCTGTGAAATAGGCGTTATTAGTGTCTTCCTTTTATTGTAGAGCCCAGATTTGAACTGAGGATTTCCTGGTCCAAGTCCATGGCCTTTCCCCACACACGTCACCCCTGCCATACTGACTACTGCCTTTACCAGTACTCCTTCTTTGCACACATGGTGCAAGAACACTGTGTCCTGCCTGCACTTGGGCTGTTCATTTCCCAAAGCATGGTATCATTTTCAGCGATGCCCAGTAAAATATCAAGGTCTGTGCTCAGATGAGTTTGGAAAAAAAAAAAAAAGAAACTTTATGTCCCTGCTGCTGATTCATGGTGGATGAATAATGGAACAGTAAAGGCAGAGAAGTCCTGCAGAAGAGAGAGGAGTTGAGCCGTGTGGAACTCTGCATTTCCGGAAGTGACTTCACCCAGAACCTACCCCCGCCCCCTGCCCCCCAACAACCCCTCCCCCGCTGATTTGGTCCTGCAGGTCGTTTTGACTCCTTGCCTGCTAACAGTGGTTGAAGTCAGATTTGGGGCTCTCCTATCCCAGAAGCTCAGATTCGTCAGAGTTAGGGGACATCTGACTGGTCACCTGATCACAGACTCTCCCCTTTGGGATCGTCCCCAGAACCTCCCTAGAGTGGGGAGGACCTGGGACTAGGAGATGGCTCCGCCGGGGGGCTGCATCCCGACTCCCTGGCTGACTGGAGCAGACTGTTTCTCCTTTCTTGACTTAGTGCTGGCTTCAGAAGCATCAGAAAAGGACATTGTGCTTATGCAGTATCCTTCCTGCTTGGCAGTTTTGTTCATGGCAAAGCAGTGGAATCTCTCTAAGACTAGACCAGACACCCCGGCAGGAGCTGTGTGTGAGTCCTCCGCACGTAGGGGGAGTGAGGAGGGCGGGTGTTCTGTCTGGGCTCTTGGCCGGCCTGGTTCCCAGCAGGCGAGCAGTCAGAGTTCGGAAGTGAAGGCAGGGTGGCTGGAGACTTTCCTCGTGCCGTCACATATTCAGACGCCTTCTTTCTCTTTCCTTTCCAGTGTGTGGTGCTGAAGACCAAAACGGTATGTAGTTGTTCCTGTTTGGGAACAGACTTAGGCTCTTAGCTCTTCTGTCCTTCCCCTCCTTCAGCCGTGATTCCTGTTATCAGTCTAAGAATTCATGTCAGCGTCCAGAGAGGGTGTGGGGGAATTCACTGGGAACCAAGGCTTTTCAGCATCTCTGGAAATTCTCATCCCTGTCCCCGTGGAGGGACAAGAGTGGCAGGACACCTAGGGGCAGCCTGATCTGCATGCCTCTGGGTTGTCAGAGCTCAGAAGCCAGCATCTGTAAAATATTCAGCAAAGCAAGTGGTGGCATGTGGCACATCCGGTGCATTTCCCACACTCCTGGGGCTAAGGCACTCCCTCCCCTATAGTTTTCACTCCATTTTGGTCTGAGTGGGAAGGGTTTCTGTGTACACCTTCAGGGAAATCACTTGGGATGTTTATCAGCTTCTGGTACCAACTAAAAAGAAAGGGTGGTGGGAACTTCCCTGGTGGTCCAGTGGTTAGGACTCTGAGCTTCCACTGCAGGGGGTGCGGGTTCGATCCCGGGTCGGGAACGAAGATCCCACATGCCGCGCGGTGTGGCCAAAAAAAAAAAGAAAAAAAAGAAAAAGGGTGGTGACCTGACAGCCTTGTTTGTACAGGGCTGGGTAGTGGTTAGAACTGCTCTGGGGATAGATCGGCGCTCAGCTGCCACAAACTCACCCGTGTGTTAAAGACCACCACTGGGCCTTTGGGCACCTCCAGAACACACTGCAGGAATCTTGACTGCAGATCCAAATCATTCTAAAACATGCTAGACCTTTTTGAAAGCCTAAAGGCTACATGGCTGTTTTACTAAATAACAAATTTGGAGAGTCTTCTGAAAAAGTTTTAAAGTGCTTTGCGGGTCCCTACACTACTCTGAGAACATCCTTTCTTGGGGAAGAGCTCACAATCATATAGCTCAGAATGGGGCACAGTCTTCTGGACGATAAATTCTCAAGAGTTGAACTCCCCCAAATCATTTGGAGTTCTAGACCCACTCCCTCATCTGATACCAAGATCTGGCCAATCCACTTGGTGTCTTTCTTTTTCTGATTCCCTGGAAGAATGCTGGCAACTGAGTTGATGAATTTGTTAATCCTGATAGAAATAATCAGTAATGAAATTCTATAAATTACTCCAGCTCATCTTAGGTATTTATATAGTTCAGTTGTTTCCAAACCTTCCCTGTTAGGGCCAACAGCTCCTCAAAGGGGTAAATAGATTTCACTACCTCTTACAGCCAGCCTTCCTCAAGTGTTTCTTGACTTTTTGAATAGTCCAGGGAACAGGAAAAGAAAGTGCAGAGGCAATGGAGTGTGAGAGAATTCCTTGTGGAACCGTAGAGGTGGCTGGTATGGGGCCAGTTGCCTGTTTATAGCTACCTGGTTCAGGCTACCATTTAAAACATGCTGGGGATGGTTGGCTTTGGGGAAGTGAAGGTTTTTCTGTTCCTGCAGCTAACCTAGGATGCTGGTCATGCCCACTGTATCTTACCACTTGCACAAGCCAGTTAGCCTTGTCGAGAGCTGTGCACTGAGCAGTTAATACTCTCTTGGCAGTCCCTGCCCTCAGGCCCCTTGCCCAGAAGTCCGCCTGCCTGGATTTGAACCCTTGGGCAAGCCACTTAACCCTTTGGTCTCAGTTGCCTCATCTATAAAATGAGTAACAAGAGTACCTGCTTCATAGTTTTTGTGAGGATCCAATGAGTTAAAACATGCAAAGCATTTAGGACCCTGCTAGCACCTGTAAGCTTGCAATAAATGTGGGCTGTTATCACTCCCTTGGGAGATGTTCATTTGTCAGACATTTAGAGAGCACCTACCATGTGACTGGTCGCAGGGATTCAAAGATGAAAATCAGACCTCAGAGCACATAGCAGATGCTTTTAGTACATTATTATAGAAATTGATTGCATTTGTTGAATTTAGGGGCCCATAGTGTAGTAGGGAGACAAGTAGGCAAACTGAAAAATTCTCATGCAGTGTGATGAGCGTCGCGAGAGTATGATAAAGCTGTGTGTGGGGAGCAGAGAAGAGGGATCCATAATCTCTGCCGGGTTCTTGCACCACGACGTCTCCTCAGAGGAAGCCTGGGGGTCGTCTGTGGCATGGCCCAGGGGCTCCTGTGATCCTTGGCTTTATTAAATTGGGGATATGTTTACATATAAGCCTCATGATCCTTAGTGAGCCATTCATTGCAGCTCCATTTATATCTAAACTTTTCTGAACCAGTTTTATCTTTTCATCATGTTCTACCTCAGAGAATATTGAGTCCCTAAGTGCCACTCACTGGCTGTATTACAGCCTCAGTTGTCTGAAAATTATTTCTTTTAAGCTTTGAGGACTTTGCCTTATTTAGTTCTCATGTTCTGGGGACGTCTTTGATCTACAAGTACTTGACTCTTCAAATCTATAGCCTGACCTATAGAGGTGCAGATTAAACAAAGAAGTGAAATTAACTACTGGGGAAATGTTTTCTTGGAGTTCAGTTTGAGTGAAGTATGTGGATTTGGGGGGGCTGTTCCCAGTGTGCCTGTTCTCCCCCTGTCCCCCAACCCCGTACACTTAGACAGTCTTCTTACTTTCCTCTCTACCCCCTTTCTGCTATGTGTGTCCAGGGGGAGCAGTGCCATCCAGCCTGGAGGAGAACCTGTGTCGGATCTGCATGGACTCGCCCATCGACTGTGTTCTGCTGGAGTGCGGCCACATGGTCACCTGTACCAAGTGTGGCAAGCGCATGAACGAGTGTCCCATCTGCCGGCAGTACGTGATCCGAGCCGTGCACGTCTTCCGATCCTGAGGGCTTGTACCAGCTTCTTCAGTGCCTTACAGGGACATAGCTCGAGGTGTCTGGGCCCACAGTTGGCCAGCTTGCAGGGGGGCAGCCTAACAAGAAAATCTGCAGTGTTCCCAAGACCAGGGCAAGCAAGATGCTCTGTCACCTCTGGGCATGCCCAGATCGCACAGGCAAGTCCCTGTTTCAGCGATCTTGGGGTGATGATGGTAACTGATGAAGAGAGGACTTTCTGGAATTTGGACTGTATCTTCCTCCCTTCCTCTGAGAACCTAAACAGTTTCACCCTTCCTCCTGTAGCCCACCCATCCCCCTGAGCTGCGTGTCTCTGTTCCACCCATCGGAAGTCCTGGTAGAAATGGCTCTCTTCTTCCCCAGCACATCTGGATTCATTTCTGGTCCCTCTGGCTTTCTGTGCGTTAACCGACCTTTGCTAAAGTCTCTTGCTACATTACCTAAAATCCATGTGTTTCTTCAGACCAAAAAGATGTTAGCTTCCCAGACCAATAGTGATCCTCCTTAGGACAGAATTTGGCCCAGTAAACTCATTTCTGGCGAGAAATGAAACACAAATGCTATGGAAAAAATTTGAAGTCATTAAGAGTTGCTTCCTTAAGTGCTGGGATTGGAAGCTATCAGTCTCTTGACCTGACCTTGGCAGTCAACAAAGCATCTGGCTTTCAAACTGCTGGGAAATTCCAGTCTCTGTGCGCGAGATGGTGCGTGGATCATCTCTGCTGCTTCTCTTGGGGCCTGACTTTGTGCCATCCTTAATTTTAGTTTATGAGAAAAGGGAAAGCATTGGGTGGAAGCAGTGGCTTTCTGCTTGGCTTTGCCTTGTCCAACAGCCAGCCTTAAACCACTTTCCCCTGAGCATGAGGTCCCTCTTTCCCATGGAGGTTTTAAACATGGTCTCACTGAAGGCACAGAGAGAGCCTCACGCTTCTCTAGCCAGACTTCTCATGAAGTTCCCAGAGACTGAGCATGTAAGACAGAGCACCTAAGAGGTATCAGAAGGTACTGAACGAGGCTGGGTTCAGCCCTTGAGCAGACAGCTGGAAGTCTTAGTTCCCCAGGTTGGTGGGGACTCCCTACTCCCATTTCCTTTCTCAGCCTGCTGATTTAGGGGCAGGTCAGGAAGAAGCATTCTCTAGGCCCTTTAGGAAGGGCCGTGCAACGAACAGGTGATGTTCTCGAGCCCTCTTAGTGTCTTTTCACCACTGGAAGAGCTTAAGTTTGCCGGAGAAGCTTAACCAAGCACAAACGTATGTACTGTGTACTATCAGAAGAGCGGTGTGTGCTGCCGTCACTACTGGGCGAGCTATGCAAACCCTTGAATACCCGAAGGCCTTGGCAGTCCCCCCACCCCCACCCCATGCAGCCAAGATCTCTCAGACTGGAAGAACCAGTCATGACTTTGAAAGCAGTGGGAAACCTCTAAGAGGACCTGTTTATTGGTACAGACATGTTTAATGCTTTCTGTCAACCACTAATCTCTTTTGGGGGAGTGAAATAATTTTAAAGTGGTTGTCAGCTGAACACTGGACCACTTAACCTTGACATTATACCAAGTCCTGGGTGATTTGATTCTGAGCTACAGCCTTTGTAGGAACTGGGGGAGTCAAGAAATTTCCCTATAAAGACATCGTCTTTCACCTTTCTGCTGGACAGTAAATACTACAGTTTACAGTGCCTACCAGTTTAACAAAGGATTCAGCTACTCCTCAATTCCACTGTGAAACAGGTCTACATGTATGCAGCTCAGTTACAACCTAGCAATAACTTCAGGGCAGAAGCTGGCTGTCTCCCTACTTAAAACTTGCTTTCTCTGCTGAGGCCTTACCTCTCCCTACCTCCCAACTTCCCTCTTGGACATGAGTTAATAATATCCTGATGGTTGGTCTGTAACCTCAGTAAGAATTAGAACTGATGTCATTTACTCATTTTGGAGAAAGAACTTGCCTTCAAGTCTTCTAACCTCTTTTGGTGGTTTCCATTTAGGAAAAAAAGGTGGCAAACACCTCCCCCCACTTTTTTTGTATCTTCTTTATTCCTACACCAGGTAAAAGTTGGGAATTCTAAGATCCCAGTTCAGTTACTATCTAACCTAGGTAGAAAACTTGACTTTTATCCTTGAATATTCTCTTCTGCTCCTCATAGGTCCTTGGTCTTAATTATCATGGAAACATCTAATTCTTCCATTATTCCATGGCTTTTGCTGTGACTGTTCTGAGGTTTCAGTTGAGACTTGTTTTAAAAGACATGGACAGCTGACTGGTTCATAATACGTTGGAATAGCTGGATCCAAACTAGTAAGAATAAGCTGTACAGGAATTAGTGCTCAATATAAAATGTATAAATTTGTTGAAATCTTTTGGATGTGAATGTGTCATTTCAAGTGGCTTATGTTAAGATTTTCTCAGACTTACTTGGGTGTTAAGAGCAAACCCAAATGTGTATTTTTTGTTACGGAGCTCTGCTTTATAACTTTGTAATAAAGTTTCAATATAGATGCCTGTCTGATCTGGTGTGAGGATACCAGAGGTCTGACAGTTAAGACTGACATGAGCTGACAAACCACAGGCTAATCCCAGGCACACAGGCATGCTCTTGAGAGACTGCATTATTTTTGGAGATGCTTGGGCCATGTGGCCTTAGTCATGGAAGAGCCTAGAAGAGGATGGGACCTGGGTAGGAAAAAGGACCAATCCTAAGTCCAAATAGGAAAAAGCAAGTGAGTTCAGGCATGGGACACTGATTTGGTAGAGGTAGACCTTAAAGATGTGGGTAGAAAGGAATCTAAGGACAGCCAGGGTGCCTAGTTAAGTCTTCAGGTGACCCTGGGAGATGGACAGTAGCTTGTGGATACAGCTGTGGTGGCTGGAGTGTGGCTCAGAGGTTGGCCCAGCATCGAGGGCAGAGTGCCCTGTCTGTGCAGGTCTGTACGCCTGCCTGACCAGGTGTCCAGGGGAGGGGACCCCTGAGTAGGCCGCCTTTGGGAGAGCTGGATTAGTGCAGATCTGCCCTGTGACTGAGGAAAGAAGAAATCTTGCCAAAAGGGCATAAAGCCTCGAGGCTGAGCGTAGCACTTTGTCCTCATTGTTCTGGGCAGCTGACCTGTTCAGCACCCTGGATGACCTCTTGTCTGTTGCCAACCAGCAGCAAGTAAACAAAGGCTCAGAGGAGGGCAGGCCTCCAGCACTCTGCTGGGGAGGTCTAAGATGATGTTGTTTACGGTCTGTGGAAATACATGGATACAAAATCACATCTAACCTCAGCAGCAAAGAAAAATTGTGTCGGAAAGACTGGAAGGAAATAAACACCTTGTACAGTGAACCGAAGACAACACACCCAGCGAGGCAGGGAGGGGCTGAGGGGCTGAGCTCATGACCGAGACTCCCCACTCTGCTGTGCAGCACACCCTGAGTGAGAGACCAGCCAGGCAAAAGGGCAGTGTCTGTGTCCGTTGGCAAAATCCTGAGGGGAGAGCCCTGTTCCGCTGCTCTGTCCAGTTGCTTGGCCTGAGGAGGCTGGAGACGGGATGACAATTTATGTAGGTCAGTGCTCAGAGGAGCAGCTTTTGTTTCCACAGAGGACAGAATAAAGTGTCATCTTCTCAACAGTGAAGCCAGACTGAATGGTGCCTATTCAGAAACACCAAATGTCCTGGCCTAGAGTCAGGGCACCACCCCCTCCTGCCCTTCCTCCCGACACATTTTCAGCAGCAGCTGGAAATCCCAGTCAATCAGGTTGGAGTTGGCCTCCCAGCAGAGTGTGACCTCAGCTGAGCACACTGGAGGAGGCCGGGGCAAGGCGGTGGCCCAGACTCAGACTCATGCTCGGTATGCTCCAGAGACTGAGTCACATTAACCTCACTCACAGGGGCTGGACAAACAAGCCTGCCAATCTGTTGATAAGAAAAAACAGAATGGACCCTCAGAAGTCAGCAGAACTAGTTGGAAGTCAGTTTAAAACCAGATGGTGACATGATGAGCGTGCACTCAGACCAGAGTGGGCTGTACCGCACAGGTGCGAGGCTGTGGAGGTGGTCTGACAGGGTTCTGAAGTCAGAGGCCAGGCCCCAGTCGCCTGGGCAGGGTCTGGACATGCACACCAGTGCTGATCTTCCCAACTCTAGATCACTACGTGCCAGGCTCTGTGCTAAGTGCTTTACCTAAGGCCTCCTGAGGTCACTTACTCTTCACAGCAACCCTGTGATTTAGGTGCAGTTCCTGTCCCCATTCCTGGAGGGTTAGGGCTGTTAAGTTTCAGGGCTTGATTCAAACTATGTCTGTCTACACCTGCACTGCCCAAGGTGGTAGTCACTAGCACTAGCCTCACGTCGACTACTTGAACGAAAATGAAAAGTTCACTTCCTCAGTTTTGTTAGCACATTTCACATGCTCAGAATATGGCTGGTTCATGTTGGCCAATGGAGATTTACAGGGTGCTTCCAATGCCATAAAAAGTTCTATTGAACGGCACTCGTCCATGCTAAATTGTTTTCCTTTTATTCAAATAAATCAGCCTCAGGCGGTGCAGGAGCCATTCTTTCTAAGCAGGCTGTGTAGATTTGTCCTCAGGTGGGTCTTTAAAGAGCAGTCTTTTTTTTTTGCGGTACTCGGGCCTCTCACTGTCGTGGCCTCTCCCGTTGCGGAGCACAGGCTCCGGACGTGCAGGCTCAGCGGCCATGGCTCACGGGCCCAGCCGCTCCACTTGTTTCCAGATTTTGGGGAGGCAGATCCTCCTGGAGCCCTTTATCCCCCCGAGGAGTAGCCCAAACAACCTCCCTTTCCTTCCTACCTGATCATGGTTCCCTCCCTTCACACCGGGGCCCACACACTGTAATAGGAGAGCACAAAGACATAAAACCCATTTTGTTTTCTTTCAAGTGAGACTTCATTCCTGGCGGCCAGGCTGAATACAAGTTTTGCCAGTTATAAGCATTTCTGGGGACAGTCTTTCTTTTAAATACAACTTTAAAATGAGCCTGGAAGTAGAAGGGGCAGGTAAGGGAGAAAAGATTGCCGCCAGGACGGGCTCTGTGGACAGAGCTTCAACAGCCGGCCTTCCCTTCACTCCTTAATCACTAGGAGAATTATCGGGGGTGTGGGGGGAAGGACATACATAACTCCAAGATAGTTCCTGGCTTTTTTGTTTTTGTTTTTTTAAAAGCTGCTTTTTAAAGAAAAAAAAAAAGAGGTCAAAACCAGCACGCAGATCTGAAAGACCTATGTAAACCGGCAGGAGAAACTGACTTCACTGGTGGTACCCACAGCAATTAACCAGTCTGGAAGAGACCATGCGTGGTTGGTGGGTTCTGGAAGATGCACAGCTTGGAGAAGAAAGCCCGTTCCCCCAGGTTCTGTCCTGTGCCTGCCTGCCCTGTCCAGGAGTAGTGCAGTGGGGAGAGCACAGCCAGAGGGCGAGGGCAGGCAGCAGTCCTAGCAGGGAGCTACCAGTCTCCGTTTCCGGATACAGGCCCAGATCCACTCCGGGGACACCTGCTGGGCCTCAGGGTTCTTGTCCCTACTACCCAGCACATGTGTGGCTGAGGCCACGTCAAATTCCTGCGCCAGGTCCCCATCGAATGCCACAAAGTAGCGTCGGAGACGGCTGAAGTCTGGCGTGGAGGGCGGCAGGTAGAGCCGCACCCCGGTGAAGATGTCCAGCAGCACCTGCAAATGCACTGTGGTCAGGGCAGGCCCGGAGCAGGGCTGGACTGTGCTGGGGCAGATGGCTCTCCGCCCAGGGAGCGGAGACCAGCGAGGAGGGAGGTCAGAACAAAAGCCAGAGTCAGGGAGCCTAGCGGTCAGGACACGAGGGGAAAGAGTTTACTGGAGGAAAGGTAAAGGCATCAAAACCCCGATCCTCCAGCCACTCCAGATTACATAGGACTGACACGCCCTTCCATCCTTGCCTAGAGGAAGAGAAGGGAGAGGAGACGGGTCCCTACACTGGGGACTTGGAAAGTACGTGTCTCCAAGAACCATCCAGGGGCTGGTGGGCAGGGCCAGTGGCGCTCGGACGCAGCGATGCTGCTCGATCAAGCAGTCCACTGTGTGTGCACTAGCTGACCAAGGGGCCTGGCTCGCTCGTGACTGCACGCGGAATCCAGGCTTCAGGCAGGGAAAAGACGTAAAGGTCGTATAGGTGCTCTGGGGACTGGGTTCAGGGCCTGGGTTCCCAGACCTCTGTGCTGACTCCTGGGCTGGGGTGGCACAATCACCGTGTAGTGAGCAGATGTCGAGTTCTTTATGTGCCCTTTGGGGCAGCAACTCCCCCAGGGCTGAACCGAGTCACTGGCCTCAGTAGGCGCTCAGTAGCTGCTGTCAAACCAAAGACTAACAAGGGAGCACGAGAGGGAAGGAGACGGCCGCCAAGCCAGTGCCCCTCCCGCTCCTCGCTGGCTGGCCCTGTTCGCAGACTCACACTACTGCACTCCCACACCCAGACTGGGCTTTCTCCCCTTTAATGTCAACTGTGACTTGGGGCCGGCAGCCGGCTGGGTCCCTGCAGCCTCTCGGCTGGGCTGGCTGCTCTATCGCCTGCCTGCTGGCACAGCGCTCCTTCCTCTCTGCTCGCTGGCCGGCCGCCTCTGCAAGGCAACAAGAGGGCACAGGGTGGAGCCGCAGCACTGCCAGCTCAGCCCGCGGCCAGGAGCAGCTGCAGGAGGGCAGGGGTTGGCAGTTAGTCCTGATAACACCTTCGCTCGTCTCTCAGAGTCCAAGTGCAGAGGGTTGGGCACACAAGGCTCCCCACCCCCCGGAGGGCACTGCTCTTCTTACCCTCACCTTTGCTTGGCATGGGGTCTCATCAGGAGCCTTCCGCTTCTCTCCCACTTTCACAGGGGAAGGCTTTGCAGTCAGCTTGTTGCCTGCATGAGAGAGCTCAGGATGAGAACAAGGAAGAGGGCAGGGGAGCGGATAATGTCCCTGAAGTCAGGGGGGTACAGAGAAGGGCTGGGCCCTTCCTCTGCTGTGACCGTGGGTGAGACAGGAGGTGAGGGCTGTACGCTGAGCCTTTAGCTCAGAGGTGGCTTATCCCCGGCTCTGAGGGGCTCTCCCGGGGTCCTGTCATTCAGATTTACAGAGCAGGAGGATGCCCAGCAGAACAATTTCTGGCCCATGGGTGGACACACAGCAGGAATGCAGCCAACGTCAGCTGCAGTGGACAGAGAATCCATGACCTCAGGGCTGGAGTGTGAGACTGGGTCCTTGTCCTTGGTCTCTGCCCTCGTGTCCGTTCTTCATCACCCCAGCCCCTACCCTTCTCCTTACCGCCTTTGCTGTTGGAGCTACTCAGCTTCCCTCCTGCCTTCTTGGCACTGGCGGAGGGCTGCTTGGGGGAGGTTCTCGGGGCCTCGTGAGACACAGCTGGCCCTGAGATGCCCTCGTTCTCTCCGCTGCTGCCCCCTGTAGTGGAGTTCCCCTCATCTCCGGCCACTATGGCGAAAGCCGCCCGCTCCTTGGAGAGCTGGTACAGTTCCTGAGGAGGGGGGAGAATCTTGGT